CCTCTCCTCGCAGTTCGGACTGGTTCTTTAAAACTCCTTTACCAACCATCATTGGCTCTCCTACTAAGGTGTGTTCCTTAAGCTCTTTAGTCGGCATGACGACTTTGTTCAGTTAACGTTCGTTACGTGGAGCACGGGGTGCCGTGTGGTGAGCTCAGGTCCAGCAGCAGACCACCACAGAGAGACTGGAACAGAGAAGTCCGTTGCTCACGTGTCTTGGCAGAAGTACCTGGCATGCCTCCAGAGGCTACACGGGGACGTCCAGGCAGGTGCAGACAGAGACAGGACCCGGGGCACATGCCTTTATTAGGGTCCGGGATGGAGGACTTTGGGGTTCCTGAGCTAAAGCAGAATTGGTCAGTTTGAGCCAAAAAAATGGGAATCTAGTAAACTCCACAGGAGTCTTTGTGTGTGCAGCATCCAAGGGGAAAGCCTGGGGCATGGGGGAGACTAGACCAGCAGGGGTGTTGGAGGAGTCATCTCCAGAATTTAAATGTACTTGTGACCGCAGTCTGCTCTCCAGGGCCTGCACTTGCATGCGGGGCCGGTGTCCGTTCAAGGCCCTGCAGCTGTGTGGCCACATGGAGTGACGCGGAGTCCGCTGTGCTGTGGGGTAGCTTAGCTGAGCTCACGACAGTAGTCCCCTTGTCCCCCGGGGATATGCTCCAAGACCCTCCGCAGTTGACTGAAACCACAGATAGTATGATAAAGTTTAATTTATAAGTTAGGCACGGTGAGAGATTAATAACCATAACTGATAATACAATAGAACAGTTATAATAGGCCACAGTGAAAGTTAAGTGAATGTGGTCTCTCTCTCTCAAAATACACCGAAAATATATATAATATATAATCATCATGGGGCAGTTTTTTTTTAAGATTTTATTTATTGGGGTGCCTGGGTGGCTCAGTCAGTTAAGCATCTGCCTTCGGCTCAGGTCATGATCCCGGGGTCCTGGGATCGAGCCCCACATCAGGCTCCCTGCTCAGCGGGGAGCCTGCTTCTCCCTCTCCCTCTGCCTGCCTCTCTGCCTGCTTGTGATCTCTGTCAAATAAATAAATAAAATCTTCAAAAAAATTATTTATTTGAGAGAGAGAGAAAGCACAAGTGATGGCCAGAGGGGCACTGGGAGAGGGAGGAGCGGAGGATGTGAGGTGGGAGCAGGCCTGCGTGGGGAGATGAAGTGAGGGAGTGATGTAGGCATGTGACCCAGCGTTAGGCTACCACTGACCTTTTGCTGGTATATCGGAAGGAGGATCACCTGCTTCCAGACCGGGGTCGGCCACAGAAGGCGAAGCCACGATGGGGGCTACTGTGCTTGATAGAAGAGATTCATGGTGATACTGAATAGCTACCATTTAAGGAGGACTTGCCGTGAGCCAGGCACAGTCTAAGTACTTCATGCCGAATGCTTTTTATACACGATGCCACTGATTCCCGAAGAAAGGAAGTTGAGGCCAGAGAGAACGAGTGAGCTGTCCACGGCCGCAGAGGCTGTCAGTGGAAGAGTCAGGATGTGAATCGAGGTCTGACTTAGGTCTGACGATTCCGAATGCTGCACGTGGGGTAGTAACCGGCTTGCATGTATTTCCTCAGACCACGGCTCCTTTCAAAATACCTAAAACGCAAGCATCTTCCAACCTGCTAGCCTTGGTGACTCGCCACGGGCCCTCTGAAGGGCAGACTAAGGATGGGAGTGACCCACGGGAGTGCCCTCATTGTCTCCTGGCTCAAGGCGGCGAGAGGCAGAAGCCTGAGCAGCAGAACAAAACGGTGTTTGGCAGGTAAGACAGCGTTTCCTCCCAGCCTTCGGTGTGCAAACTGCAATAGCACATATATGTCTACGATAAAGACAGACCAGACCAAATTCGTTTAGTAGCTGGTCTACGCCACTTGGGTAATGATATTAACTGTATACATTTAGAATTTCTGAAAACCACAGGTGCTTCCTGTGACTGAATACAGAGTCCTTACTGAATTTCCTGAATGTTCTATATATGCTTTTTGTTTGTTTGGGTTATTGAAGTTCGTCTCTACCCTGAATTGTCTGGTATCTATTTTTTGTCTCCTTATTCTCTGACTTCCCTTTAACCCTTTTATGGCTTGCCTTAAATCTCCCTTATTATTTTAAATACTGGGATTTTTACAATATACTTTCCAGGGATGCCTGGGTGGCTTCTGTCTTCAGCTCGGGTCATGATCGTAGGGTCCTGGAATCCAGTCCCACATTAGGCTCCTTGCTCAGCAGGGAGTCTGCTTCTCCCTCTGCCTCTGCCTGCCTCTCTGCCTGCTTGTGCTCTCTCTTTCTCTGACAAATAAATAAATAAATAAATAGATAAATAAATAAAAATAACTAAAGTATACTTTCCATTATGAACATCATGCCTTCTTTCTAGATCTGTCAGTGCTGGGAAATTATCAGACCAACAAGCGAAGATACCTTTAGGTGGACATCAGGGCAGCATGGACAGTTTAAATACAGAACGACCAATGGATATAGG